AAACCTGCAGAGGAGTAGTATTTTATGCACAGTCATACCTCATGTTACGTTTGCTTCATGATGTGTTTTTTCAGGTTGCATCCTGTGGCGACCCGGAGGTACCGGAAAGGATTACTTCCGGGTTTCGCTGCTCACGCATGCGCAGAAGCGCTAAATCATGCTTTGCGCATGTGCGCAAGTGCCAAATTGCGCCGCGCACCTGCACAGATACAGCGCTTCAGGTTGCGGGCTTTTCATGTTGTGAACGGGCCTCTGGAACGGATCCCATTCGCAACCAGAGGTACCACTGTAATAAAAATATGCTGGTTTTTCACCCAAGGAATAATAATAATAATTTTACTAAGGTAAAAGGTAAAGGAACCCTGGACAGTTAAGTCCAGTCAAAGGTGACTCCGGGGTTGTGTTGCTCATCTCGCTTTCAGACCGAGGCAGCCAGCATTTGTCCACAGACAGCTTTCTGGGTCATGTGGCCAGCATGACTAAACCACTTCTGATGCAACAGGACACCATGAAGGAACCAGAGTGCACAGAAACATCGTTTACCTTCCCACCTCAGTGGTACCTATTTATCTACTTGCACTGGCATGCTTTCGAACTGCTAGGTTGGCAGGAGCTAGGACAGAGCAACGGGAGCTCACACTGTTGCGGGGATTCGAACCGCCAACCTTCTGATCAGCAAGCCCAAGAGGCTCAGTGGTTTAGACCACAGCGCCACCCGCGTACCCCACCCATCTGGCTGGGTTTCCCCACCCACTCTGGGCGGCTCCCAACAGAACACTAAAAACAGAATAAAACTTCAAATATTAAAAGCTTCCCTAAACAGGGCTGCCTTCAGATGTCTTCTAAAAGTCAGATGGTTGTTTATTTCCTTGACATCTGATTTTGTCTCTTGCTCTGCCCATCCCTGACTCTGGACTCTGCCCTCCCGCATTATGCTGATTACTCACGGGGGAATGTGGCCTCCAACCAGATGTGATGCCCGTTGTTTCACTGCCTGAAGCAAAATGGGAATGTGCTGTGCTACCATCACCTCCCTTATCTGGGTTGTGTGGCAGCACCTGCAAAGCAGTGGTGGGTTACAATGAGATCTTGTGAGATCTCACTTAAATCTCATGAGATCTCATGTGCTCCAGGCGGGAGTGCTTGCAGAGGTGCTGCCTCTTGGGATTTTGCCACCCAAGGTGTGAGTCCTACATTAAGGTTACCAGATTTTTTTCAATGAATCTGGGGACACTTTTCAACTTCCTACTAAATAGATGGATTTTGTCAGGGAACTGATTTGTAAATCCGGGGACTGTCCCCAGGAAATGGGGATGTTTGGTAACCTTATCCTATGTGGCCTTTGTGCTTCCCCAAATCTACTGCAACACAGGAGTTATGTTGCAGACATGCAGTCATTCCTCTGAAGACAACTGGGTGTGGAAAGACTCTCTGAAGCAGAAACATCTGTAAACCGGGTATCTGGGAAGCACAACTTCAAAACCTGTATCCGTTCCCAAAAGAAAAAGAAAACTGCAATGGAATAGCTCCTTTTTTCTATTTAGAGGTTAAAAATTTGTTTCAACAGTGAGCTCTCATATGTGAAGGGACCATTGTCTTCTTCAGTCCTCTTCAAGTGAAAATGTGAGAACCTCACTTTTAAATTATCGTTTTGCAAAGAATCCTCTGAATCTTACTAAAAGATCTTAAATTTTCCTGTATAAACCATGTGGGTTTCTGAGACGCTTGTTATATGCATGTTAAAACTTGAAAACAAGCTATCTGGTCATATGTTTCCCATTAACCCCCAAATTTTGCTCATTATACCAAAATTGCCATGTGAACATGTCTCATGATTCATCTCCGCCTTCACTCACCACTACCATGTTCTTCTTCAGAAAGCAGACTATGATACTTTAAAGCATTCCTTAGCATTAATCCAATATGATGATTTTTCATATTCTTTCAATTTGTTCCTGAGGGGAGGAAAAAAATCCCATTCCCACATTAAACCCACTAGAAGACTGGTGAGCTACAATGAGATAAGGATAAAAGGATGGGAGCCATATTTTTTCCCTTGCCCCCTTGAAGTCAATGGGCAAATTGCAAATGAAAATGGATGGCAGAGTTTGGCCCTTTGTCAAAAGTATATGCTGAGGCATATCTCATCCCCATTCAAATCAAATATAAATTTACACCCACACCCACCCACACACCACCTCTCCCATTGCTTTAGGTGGTATACAAAAGAAAAGAACAAACCAACACTGGAAACGAAACAAAAAATCCTTAAAAATAACTCAGAAACAACAGACAATAAAACTCTTGACTTGGGCTGCATTCCTGTATCCACTTTTTTGAGACTAGGACTTGCTACTTCAAATCCATCCCTTTTTAGAAGTATGCAGTTTCAATGATTATTTAACAGCTTTTTGAAACGTTGGTACTGCGAGCATAATCTGACAATGGGTGCAAAACACCCAGTTGTTCTTCTTCATAGGCACCATTCTTCTTAGCACTTCTATTTTCTTTCTCTCTTTAGGCTAGCAGGGGGTGGTGGTAGCTCACAAGAGCCTCTGCCCCAACAGTGAATCATCCTGAACAGAATGAATAATTTTTCCTGACTTTTCCTAATTTCACATTTTCCAGACAGAACCACCAGATACATTTTACTTGTAGGTTATTGCGCAAAATTCTTCCTGAATCATTTTGGTGACTGGTTTGATGCTACTACCAAATAAAGTCAGATCAAAAGGAGATATGAATGGACAGAGAGCTGGATTGTGTTTTTTAAAAAAAACTGTATTAAATAGGAATCTGGAAAGACATACACACACATTCTATCTCTTCATATATGTACCAAGTAAATGTGTCCAGGATTTCAGCCTTAGAGGAATATACCTTTGCTTTGTGTCATACTAGGAGAAAAGGACTTTCCATGAGATCATTGTCAAAAGTTATGCCTCACACAGGAAAAAACCACTCATATGTTGCTGTAATAAGGGAATAACCAATCCAGAGCAATGCTCCACCCCACAGTATTGACTGGTGTGAATGTGTAAATGCACACAGGGGAAGTACAGTATAAAGCTTTGTGGCCTGAATTCCAGTGGAAGAACTTGAAGTCTGCTTAAACTTCCATGAGAAAGATCTGTGAGGAAATTTAGACTCGGAAAGGTAAAGTCTAAATGTTCTCTCTTTTGAAACTTTATACATTTTCTTTGGACATTTCATATACAGTATGACCTTATATTTAAAGTTGTGTGAAGTATTCTACTTTAAAATGCAAGCATTTGTTAAGATTTTGTTGGGTGAATTATGTAAATAATATTTGCTATATGTATAAAAATGGTACGAGCTCCCACACTTCCTGTTAACAGCATAGCCATGCACACCTGTATATAAAATATTTGTTCAACCTTTTAACTACAAATGTTACTTCAGTCTCTGTTGAAAGACACTCAAAAATTTAGTCTTATGTTGGGCTCAGTTTTGACATATATATGAATTAAAACTAATTAGGACTATTAGACGTTCATTGATGGTACAGCTTGTGCAGCTTGCGTTTCAAATGTATTTCCTTAAGAAGAAATGCAGCTATGGTTTCTAAAGCAAACGAAGCATTTTAAGCACAGCAGAAGCAAAACGCAGGAGCATCAAAACTTTTTGGGTGGGGAGGGGGTCTAAGCAGGATATGCAAAGGAACATCCTTTGCTTTCATTCACTGCTAGAAAGCATCCATATTTCAAAAAGCAAAAGGAAACAAATGGATAGTATGGAACGTTTGCAAAACCTATCTGGCTTATTCAAATTATTTCCATACTGTACAGGGGAAAAATATATTTTGCTCCGATTTCTTCACCAACTCCTCTAGCTGAAACAGGCATGAATAGCTTCTCCTAGTGTATTGTAATTACCCTCCTTCCAATAAACTGAGATGCTTAGGTATCATATAAGAAACTCTAAAGTGTTGGGGTAGAACAATGTGGTTTATGGCTGAATGAACTTAAAACTCACATTAAGATAGCACATATTGAATGGAAGAAAAACAACTTGGAGGCCCTAAATCCAGTTTCTTATTTGAGCAAAGCATGACGACGATTTTGGAATACCAGACAAGAGTATCACCCTCTTTAAATAAACACACAGCAAAAGAAATTAATGGTAGTCCGTTTTCTTTAGGGGGGTATAACAATTTTCTTTTTAAAAAACACAAACCACAGACTTGCAGTGAATGCTACTGCAAAATGCACCATCCACTAAATCAAGAGCCTTTCAGAAGGCTGAGGTTTGGGACCTTACTAACCTTTTATTCATCTTTTACTGAGTCAAAATTCTCTGCAGCAATAATCATGGATTAGCCTCAGGTTGCTACAACTGAAAAGGGACTTTCAGGTTTGGCAGTAGTGCATAGATTTGGCAGGGCTGTCTAATTCACAATGTATTCACTGGCGACCTTTGCAAAAAACTGTGACACAGAACTTGAGAGCAGAACACAAATAGGTTCTGCTTGGGCCTTTCAGTGCCTCTCTGTTTTCAGCAGCTTGGAAATACAGAGCATATTATAAGGACCCAAACAAAAGTTTTGTTTTGCCCTCTTCAGATTCCTTGCCAGTGTTGATAATTCAACAGCATCTAAAAAGGTCTGGACAGGCAGGTTCTGTTATCTGCTCCATTCAGAATACAGTAAGATCTTTCCTCTAACGTTCTCCTGCTGCTCAGGTCACAAATTCCCTAGCACTTCCTTGGAATCCTGTTCTGGCAGAGTCCATAACTCACTGGAAGGCGTTTTAAAGGTCTCTGCCTTCACCTTTTCCTTCCATTCTCACCCTGTTCTGTTAACCTGAGGTACTTTGAAGAAGATGAGAACAGAAAGAAAAGCAAAATATGTCGAGGCTGCAAGGAAAGGAGAGGAAGGGAAACCACAGGACAAATGTGAGACAAGAAAAAGAAAAGAGATTGAAAAGCAGAGGTGGGTCAGGCAGAAAACACATATAAGGGAGAGGTGTGTGTGCCAGAGTGCAGTGAGCATAAGGAAGGCAGCCTGTCAGAATATGTGCTGATCCTCCCCCTTCCTAATCATAGCTTTTACTCACAGACAAAACTCCCTCCCTCTCTCATTCACTCACTCACTTTAGGCCAATCCGTCCTCCTCTCTCTCTCCCTCTCTCTTTCTCATTCTCTCTCTCTCTCTCTCTCTCTCTTTTCTCAGTGTTTCTCTCTCCCACTCTGAGACAGAGTCAGAACTCCTCTCACTGACAGTCACAAACATCTATAGCACTTACTGAATTCAGAGAGGGAACCTGCAAACAAAACTTCACAGAAAACTTTTTGTTCTTGTTCCAGAGAATTTGCTGAAGAGGAAGAAAGGAAGAAGAAGAAGAAGGAAGGGAGGGGGACAGACACAAGCAAACTGTGTGTGAAGTGGTGGGGGGGAGAAGAAAAGCAGTGCCTTTTAAAAAGGAATCACAACAACTTTTGCTGCCAGGATGCCTTTGTTTCAGAAGAGAGGATTTTTGTTGGTGCTTTGCTGGATTACAGTGAGGAGTTCCCCGACCCCAGGATCTGAGGGGCACAGTTCAGTCACCGATTGTCCATCATGTGCCCTTGCCACGCTCTCAAAGGATGTGCCCAGCTCTCAGCCTGAGATGGTGGAAGCAGTGAAGAAGCACATTCTGAACATGTTGCATTTGAGGGACAGACCCAACATCACTCAGTCGGTGCCCAAAGCTGCACTTTTTAACGCCATCAAGAAACTCCATGTGGGGAAAGTGAGAGAGGATGGCTTTGTGGAAATAGAGGATGACATTGGAAGAAAAACAGAAATGAATGAACTTGTGGAGCAAACTTCAGAGATCATAACGTTTGCAGAATCAGGTGGGTGCTGTGGCAGGGGGTGGGAACTCAACTTGAATAGGTCTCAGTCAGAATTGCAATTAACTTCGCTTTTCTTTGCAACAGTAATACTCTTTGTGAGGTTACAGGTTGAGAGAAGGGAGAGAGTGAAAGCATGAAGGGATTTGGGTCTCTAGAATTTAGCCTTGGTTTCAGATGCATTGATTACACTTATGAAATGCAGCCAGCCAGCGAGGAGGGAACTATATACCAATCCTAGGCTGAAATTTTGAGTAAGTGGGTTTGTCTCCCTGGTACATTTGTGAAAAGAACAGATAAACAGTAGACTATTGAGGGTGATGATTGAAAATGAAAAACAGAGACAGGAACAGACAAATAGGGCAGGCACTGTGAAATACTCTGGGCAAAGGAAGACAGCTAAAATCAGTTTTCAAACCCACTCACTGTAAAACCTGTGAATTTGAGAATATGTATGTTTAATGGTACTCAGTCAACAGCAAATATTCAGGGCAGCAACAGTGTTAACAGCTACTGTCAGAAAACCTCAATAGTAACTGGGACAAATAGTTGTGGATGAACCCAATTGTAAAGCTGACATTTGCACACTGGGGGAAAGGGTAGGGGAGGAAATATGGTATTTCTGAGAGCTCCTTTCCAAAGAATGCAACATTGATAAGGTGCATTTTTAAAAGAAAAGGCATTGTCATATCGATTCTCCGATCATACCTATGACAGGGTACATAGAGAATTACTTACTTCACCATTAAACAGTAAGCGTATGCATGTGACTGATGCTTTCTATATGTGTATTATGCTAAATGTTAACCCTGGTGCTTAACATGTATGTGTGTTTGTGCATGCGTGTGTGTGCATATTCAGATTTACCTGTCTATGCCAATAGTTATTTAATCCACATAGGTTTAAAACGGCTACTGAAAACTTTCCAGAAATTAATTGTGTTGCCTAGTTAAAGCATTTTCCCCCTGTTGCCAAGACAGCTTGCAAGGAATGTCATTGTTTTGCTTGGTACAGCATATGGTAGGCAAAGTATGCACAGGCACACTGAGCATTTTTGTTTAAAAGTTTGCTGCAGCAATATAAACAATTAAGACAACTCTCAGAGTTTCCAGTCCTGAAAACCTGTTGACTCAGATGTTCTGTTTGCATAAAAAGACATGCAGAGAATCATGCGTGGTTTTAAGAGCAGATATTCCTGCTGCTAGCTGCATGAGTTCCAACTATACAAGAAGCCCTGGTGGTTGGTGTCCTTGTAAATCTTATCATACCAGTTGTTTGTCTGGTAGGGGAATAATAATAACGATGATGATGATGATGATGATGATGAAGAAAAGCACACTCTCCTTTTCAAAAGATGAGTAGAATGTCTCAGTGCCTGTGATCATGTGGAGGTACTCAATGAAGGAGTGAACATTCAGAAGCAAAGAAATTGCTAGCCCATCTGATGGACAGATTTTGCATCCAGTTTACCGCAGCACCAGGCTGAGGGGAAAGACACATGGAATGAACTGTGGTTTTGAGGCACTGTGTGAGTTCCAGTAGTTTGCACTGTATCTGCTTAAACCAGGCTCCAAAGGCAACAGTGACACGCTTTAACAGCGACACCCACTCCAATTGGCTTACAGAGTCACATGATTAATATTAGCTGTGCCATTGCCCAGAAAGTGTCCAATAGTCCAGCTACTCATTTTCCCCCCATCTGCAAGCTACCAAACAGTCAAACTACTCCAGCTTGTATTTTGAGGAAGCATTGGTATTGGCAACTACATTAATTTCACACTCTTCTTGCTGCCAGTAGAGCACACCAGGGGTCAGTATATTTTGGCCATTTCTGCCCCATTTATATATCTGCTCCAGCCCCCCGGAAGCATTTTTCTGTGTATGTTTCACAAAATATTAAATTATATTTTTCCTTCTCATCTCATTCTCCCTGCCAATTTCTTTGAAACACTGAGATATTAATGCTAAGGGAGATGTTGTGGGACTTGCTGGGAAAAAGAATTTTACATAAAACCTAGACTACTATTCAGTGATTCAGTCATACAGTGGCCCATATGGGCTTAAGCCAGTATCTCGAGGTCACGATTGCTGGTTGTATATTATTCCATAACTAGGTCAACTATTCAGTCTTTTTCTCAGCCACTATCCACAGTTCTTCCCTTCCTGAGGGTGGGTGTCCAATACTAAAATAGTGCTGGTGTCTTCTGATCACTCCTGTGGAAGTGACAGGAAAATCTAGCCGTCCGCCTAATGTCAAGGAAGAGGTCTGCAAGGGCAGGGATCTGTTGGGGATCATGAGTGGTCAAAACCAAATCTGTGGTGTGTTCCAACTGTGTTTGAGTTGAATGGTATACTGTGGGAAATATTATTCCTCAGTAGCATTTTACTCGTGTCGCGGTTCCTCAAGCAACCACTGTCTGAAAGGGAGGCAGTAGAGAATCAATGGAAGTGAATGGCAACATGTTCTGAAGTTTTGTCAACTGATGAAAATAGAAGTAGTCTAAAGTGCTCTAATTTAACTGTCCCATCACTCCCAGGAAGTATGCAGCAGTTGCACTACTGATGTTAGAAGAATAATTTCATCTTTTATATTTAGGTATCTTCCAAGATGCCATATACAAATCTGACAAATGACAGGCACATGTGCACAGCTTTCAATTTGCCCTTTTGGACTAGCACAGATTAAACAGGAGAACGTTCTAGATTAGAAGATGCGGGGAACACGAGGGCCAAAGGTGAATATACTGACTCCGTCCCAAAACACAGGGGTTGTCTGCTCCAGGTGATCAAGAAAATTGTGAAAAGGTGCCACTCACATTCCAGGCCTTTGTGGAAACGAATGACTTCAAATGTGGACAAGACGTTTTCCCTGTGCCAGGGAAAATGGGTTCTAGTGAGATATTCAAGTTATAATGTTTATAATAACACAGTTAACAAAAAGGAGTTGAATTTTTAAAATAAATTTCCATTAGTAAGGCAAAAAAACATTTCTGCATCAGTTATGCAGTAAGTTAACTGTGGTAAATCAGAGGTATAACTTTGGCATTTTGGGGAAAATAATAAATACTATTTGCTGAAAATAATCAATAATGGTTTGTTGATACAGCAGCCAATTATAAATTAATTTTGTTGGCCCCTGTTTAGCCAATGTTAGCAGTCCAGTCACCACCTACATTTGCCAGTGGGGTTGCTCGGAGTAGGTGACATTGACATTCCAGTGACTGTGATCAGTGGTTAGACAAGAATTAATAGAAATTGTGATCCAGGCTTTTATCGGTTATAGCCTGAAGCTGAGCAGGGTTTCTCAGAAATAAGTTCCATTCATTTTAGTAGTACCTGAAACCCAGTAAAAATAAACAGGACTGCAGTCTGTGTTACATATCTTTTTAAAGATTTGATAGCAAAAGGGGGGGAGTAGATACATCTTTTAAACGAATTAAATGAAAAGTACTGGAAGTGGGAGAAAGAGAATAGTTAATTTTAAGTCTTTAGAACGAAGGTTTCATTCATTTTTAAAATGATCTGTTTTTCTGGGGGTTCAGTTTTTTAAAATTCTGAATAGAAAATCAAATAGCCACTAGAGGGCATACTCCAAAGGCTTTTCCCCATCAACTTCATGCTACCTATAAAATTCTTTTACCCAATTGGCTCTGCAACATAAAGACTCTGGTGCTTCTCTGTAGCTCATCTGACAATCTTATTTCCCGCACAAAGCATAAAAAGCACCAGAATGAAGTTCACTTCAGGGAGAATGTGATATAATGAAACAGAGCAAAGAGAAAGAGAGAGAAGATAAAGTTGATAGGCCCAGAGACTAAAATATAAGATATTTATTAAGGTCACAGTAGTGTGTTTTTGACAAGACACTGAGAAATCTATTTATGATTTATAGGCTGGGCTGGCTGGTTGCTGTTGTTGTCATTATTACGTTTCTAAAATGGTCCTCCTTTGCTTTACAACCTGGAATCTTTTGAACACCAAATTTATTTTCTTTTGCTGCAAGGAATAAATCCACTTCCAGTGAATCTGCTTGAAAGAAATTTAATTGGCACCCAGTTGTGAATCTACCTAATTGAAATATAATTGGAAACCAGTTGTTTCCCCTTTGAAACTTTTTAAATCTGAGAGAGATAGGAAATACATTGGTGAATGGGGCCGTGGGAGGGTAGCATGCAAGTACGAAGTTCCCCTAGGAGGAATGTGCCAGGGCATGCCCTCGAGAGCGTATGTGCATGTCTCTGAGCCCACATAGATGGGAGCATGTCATTGCAGGGATACATAGGAAATGGTGGGTGCTTGGAATCGCTTGGAAAGGCCAAGAGCATTTTTTTTCCTTCGGGGGGGGAGGCATTTAGGAGTTTTGCCTCACTCTTGACATCTACTTCAATGCCTGCATATAGACTGGGGAGGTGTTTCCCTCTAGTGAACTTGGCAGCTCCAAAACAAAGACTATGTTTTTGTTTTTAAAACCAGGTGATCCCTTCAACCATCTGCCATCCCTAGCATGGCGTACTCAGTTCATCTAAACTGTTAGCTTATGACAGAGCAATTGTGATCCTGACTAGAGGTCAAGGTCATTCTTCTGTGTCCTGTTGCCCTCTTCCACAATCCTCAGTTGGCTTCTCCGAAGGCAGAACACCTGAGTTGCAGGAAGTAGCGATAAAACCAGTACTGCTGCTATTGCTGCCACCCTCCACACAGTCTTTCTCCTATGCTTCTAAGTGTCTGAGGCTTGGCCCCAGAGTCACACGACCTTCCTTGTTGCATTGCAGATTTGGATGTGCTAGGATGTTAACTTCAGGTGTCTACTGCTGCTTCTTGGGCCCTGCTGCTTTCTTCAACTTCCAGATCTTGAGAAAGCCCCAGCACATTAAGAAGGGAAATTTCACTGTGGGTAATCACCACCCCGTGATATTGCTTTGATGCTATAATGCATGTGTGTCAAGGGTGAGGCGGCAGCAGCAGCCACTGAAGGAAAATGGGTAGACAAAGGCAGCATGAGAGACTGGGAAACAGACAGAGGTATGGCAGGGGCTAGCAGACCACCTTTGAGAAGAAATAGGGCTCTAAATAAATGCATTAGCGTACGCACGATTGGGTGTGTGACTGTGGCTTAAGGCTCACACATCTTCTATCTATCTGTGCAACAATGTTAAACCAGCCTCTGTGTGAAGTTGGCACGCGCACACACAAGTTTGTAAATGTTTTTATTCTGGATGTGTGTCCACACATTCAAAGCAGAGATGGGTGGTGCTGAAGCAATGGAGATCTGTATTGACTAATATGGGGGCAATTCCAACCCATTTAAAAGCCATTTCAACTCTTTTTATTCACTACAGTGAGTTCACGATAGTCTTCCAATAAGGCTGCCGTTACTGAAACCTCAGTTGCCATGGTGGTGGCAGAGAACCAATGGAGGCAAGGCAGCGGGTGGAGGCCAAACCTGGAGCCCAGCGTTGCACGTGTGCCGCTGGGCGCTCACAGTCTGGGACCAGTGGAACCTTGCTTCCAAGTGAACATGCAGAGAGCTGTGCTGTTAGTCTCATTAACTTCAGTGGGTTGGAACTAGAGATTTGTTGAGTGGAATTTTGCCAGTGGACAGTTGAAGGACCCCCATCCAGGAACAGTATGGAAGGTGGGTGAAGGAAGCTGCAGGAGGAAGGAGAAAATTGACAAAATTCCCTCCCCTTCTGCTTCCACGAGTGAGAGCCTTCATTGACTCACCAGTCTGCCTGCAAATGAAAATAATGCTTTCATTCGCAGAAGAACTGCTCTAGATCCCAGACAGACAGACTTAAATAAGAGGAACTTTTTTAAATTGGGCCCCAAAACCATCTCTGGTAGTGATGGAAGTGTCATGTGAATCTCTTGTGTAAGCAGCGTAAAAGGTCACAGCCGACAGCTTTTGTTGTTGCTGCTGTGATGCAAATTATGTGGCATGCCCGTTCCACTTCCCTGCTGCAGTCTCCTGTCTCCTGTAAAATGAACCACAACCAAGACTTAAGCATTTGCCTTTCTTTTGCAAGATAAAAGAAGGAACGAGAACAATATTTAGGTAGCTTGTCTGGAAGGATGAGAGAACTCTTAGGTACTTCAGGATAGGACAAGATGGGGAGAATGGGCAACGAGAGGCGTTTTGTTATGCAGCTGCTTTCTGAAGACAGAATTTATGCTTAATGAGAAACCGCAAAAAGCACAAACTATGTTTCAGTCCTAGTTTCAAGTTCTTTAACGATGGCTCTGCTCTGCCTTCCAAATACAGTGGTACCTCGGGTTAAGTACTTAATTCGTTCCGGAGGCCCGATCTTAACCTGAAACTGTTCTTAACCTGAGGTACCACTTTAGCTAATGGGGCCTCCTGCTGCCGCTGCACGATTTCTGTTCTCATCCTGAAGCAGAGTTCTTAACCCAAGGTACTATTTCTGGGTTAGAAGAGTCTGTAACCTGAAGCGTATGTAACCCGAGGTACCACTGTATACTTATCTCCTTGGCTCTGGGGGTCACATAACTCCATACTTTCCAGCATTTCTCTGGCGAAAACAGGGACGTCTTAAGACATTCTGGCATCAAATAAGAAATTGGGATGGCTTCTGTCAATCTGGGACCATCCCTGGAAAATAGGGGCACTTGGAGGGTCTGCAAGAGCACTTTCTCCCCTGAGAGTCCTAGAAACTGGTGTTCAGAAGCATTATGCCTCTTGTAAAGCAAAGTTCTTAACCCGAGGTTCTATTTCTGGGTTAGCAGAGTCTGTAACCTGAAGCGTATGTAACCTGAACCATTTGTAACCTGAGGTACCATTGTATCAGCTGCTGGAACCCCAACAAAGGGGAGAGATGGTCATGTGTTCATGTTCTGCTCCCTGCTTTGCCACAGGCATCTGGTCGGCCTCTGTGGGAACAGGATGCTGGACTAGACGGGCCTTTGGCCTGATCCACCAGCCTCTTCTTAGGTTTACTTTGCCATTGTGCTTTTAGCTTCCCCGTTGGCAAGCTGTTGCTTAATATTTTAAGCAGCTTTAGGGCAGAGGATGTTTAAATGTTGGTAGAATCATTCAAGTTTTGGGGTGTAGAATAACTCCTATAACCCCGTACAAGAAATTATGCATATTAACTAACTGATCATACCTAGAAGTTATTTGAGTCTACCATACATGCCTTTATATCATGCATCTTCAGAACCATGTATGCTAATGGAGTTTAGCTCCCAGGAATATGAGATAAGTCAAATGTCTGTGTAAGATCAGAAATGTTCATGTCACACCAGACACTAGCCTATTTGCATTATCACGCAGCATGTGGCATGGAAACCGAGTGTGCATAGTGGGTTTCCAATGTTATTTTTTTCTTTGTCAAACTCTAGCATGATTAGGAATGCCACTCAGAGTGGGATCTTGTAGATGGAGAATGGGACATGCCTATCAGTTGCTCCCATTGAATCCAATGGGATCTATGGGTTGCAGTTGACAACAGTGTTGGGAAAGTGAAAATCTATTCCCTAATAAAATCAGAGTCATCCAGGGCAGGAGGAAGGTTTACTTATGGTTTACTTATGAGAAGTGGGCAACTGTCCATTTGAGTTTCTTGCAGCTTCTCATTTTTCCACTCTTATGTTCAGTTTGCTCCATTTTCACATCAATCTGACATATTAAAAAGGTAAAGGTACCCCTGCCCGTACGGGCCAGTCTTGCCAGACTCTAGGGTTGTGCGCTCATCTCACTCTATAGGCCGGGAGCCAGCGCTGTCCGCAGACACTTCCGGGTCACGTGGCCAGCGTGACAAGCTGCATCTGGCGAGCCAGCGCAGCACACGGAACGCCGTTTACCTTCCCGCTGGTAAGCGGTACCTATTTATCTACTTGCACTTAAGGGTGCTTTCGAACTGCTAGGTGGGCAGGAGCTGGGACCGAACGACGGGAGCTCACCCCGCCGCGGGGATTCGAACCGCCGACCATACGATCGGCAAGTCCTAGGTGCTGAGGTTTTACCCACAGCGCCACCCACGTATAATATTATTATATTAGTGTATATGTCTGCAAATATATACATTTTATATGCATTTTTTTTGCTAATATACACATTAATGCAAGCAATTTCCCCCACTATAATTGTGTTTGCATTTTCACTAATATAAGCATTTTTATCCAGGCTCTCCCCTAATAAATGCTTTTTTTTGGTAAACATTTTTGGTTGGAGAAGTGTGAATTTGATTTGCTTTGGTTTGCTTATTGTCCTGGGAAGTGTGTATTAGGTAAAGTCATATTAAAATGCAATCCACACAGAATTCATCCACCAATAATAATAATAATAATAATAATAATAATAATAATTTTATTATGATACCCTGCCCATCTGGCTGGGTTGCCCCAGCCACTCTGGGTGGCTTCCAACACACAATGATCATGAGGAATTGGACATACATTGTGACTAAGCTACCATTTAGCCCTATGAGAAAGAAGATTAAGGGCTGAACTTGGGGACAACATCACCATTGTAAGAATAAACTTGCCCTCTGGTGTGTGGCTGTGTGACACTGACAGTCCTTGCAAAGAATCTGCAATAAATGTTTAGTTAATGGTACGGATAACATGCTGCATTCAGAAAGGGCCATTCCTGGCCAAGTGTTTTGAACTAGCCATTTCTCAGCAGCTCCTGTTCTATTATAAGAAACTATATTATAAATCACACACATTTCATTGTCACCTGCGGAATGAGATAAGGAGCAAAGAGGAGGGTGCCTTTGAATGCATTTGCCCTATTTACATAGTGCATGCACGTGCAGGTGTGTGTGTATTTATTAACCAGTCAGTCTGATGTTTAATGTCTGCCACTATTGTCCATTACAATACAACTAAGAAAAGCAAACCAAGATAATCCAATAATAGATTAAAACAAAACAAAAAAGATTTCAGAAACAAATATAGATAGTTCAAGTGTGGGGAACCTTTGGCCCTCCAGATGTTGCTGAACTAAAACTTACATAGTCCTAATGATGGGCCATACTTGCTGGGCCTTGTGGGAGCTGCAGTTAAGACACATCTGGCAGGCCAAAGGTTCCCCACAAAGATAGAAAACGGCTGTAAACACAGCCCAAAAGCAAGCTACTGTAAAACCAACAGCTTACCTCATTTTGGGGGGGGGGGGTATTTGCTTACAGTGCAAAATGGAACAACTTAAAACAGACGTGAATAATTACAAAATTTAAGTAGCAAGGCGTTTTTACACTGAATAGTTTTTCCATTGGCAAATTTAAGAAACATACATAAAAGGGTAAACTCTACCATCACAGTAGAAAACAGAATTACAGTGGTGCCCCGCAAGACGAATGCCTCGCAAGACGAAAAACTCGCTAGACGAAAGGGTTTTGCGTTTTTTGAGTCGTTCCGCAAGACGAATTTCCCTATGGGCTTGCTTCGCAAGACGAAACGTCTTGCGAGTTCTTGCGAGTTTGTTTCCTTTTTCTTAAAGCCGCTAATAGCCGCTAAGCCGTTAATAGCCGCTAAGCCGCTAATAGCCGTGCTTCGCAAGACGAAAAAACCGCAAGACGAAGAGACTCGCGGAACGGATTAATTTCGTCTTGCGAGGCACCACTGTACTTCTGTTTGGAAAAAAGACTGTTATAATTTAAACCCTTGAACTGTTTTTAAGTGTATTAGATGCTATTTTGTTGCCTTATAATTTCCATCCTCATTTTTCTAAACAACTGAGACCAAACTGAGAAAGTAAATTCATACTTCTACATTAAGTAGCTGAGAAAAGTCACCAGGAGATATGGGTCGCATTGTCATTAATATGCACATAAAAAACACAGGTCTGTCATTTCTTTCCTCCGGCAAACAGCCTTCCCAGGCAGGCAGTGGAAATCCTGGACAGGTGTCTGGGAGCTGGAGCAGTTTTGGGATGGATGCAGCTGAATAAGCTTAAACTGAATCCTGATAAGATGGAGGTGCTGCAAATTAGGAAGCCATCTGATGGGGCTGGAAGTACATTGCCAACTGTGGGTTGGACTGCATTCCTCCAGTAAAGGCCAAGTTTGTAGTCTGCTGGATCTGATACTAGTGGGGAATTGCAGGTGGAGCTGATGCCAAGGAGAGTTTTATACCACCTAAACCTAGAATAGAACCTGTGACTTTATATCAGTCAAACCTAGTTGTGGTTACCCATGGACTAGTTACACCTAAACTTGACTACTCTGCATGGGATTGACTTTGAAGATGGTTTGGATACCTCAGTTGGTGCAAAATGAAGCTGCATGAATGAGGGCCAGGAATTCCAAGCACATGATACCAATTTGCAGCAGTTTCACTGGTTACTAGTGTATCTCTGAGCTTAAGTCTAGGTGCTTGTGTAAACTTGGAAAGCCTAAATGGTTTGTAGCTGGCTTATCTCAAGGGCCATCTTCCTGTTTGTTTTTTAAGATTAACTACCAAGACCGTCCTCAAGTGCCCACAAGTTTGGTTTATGAGGTTGATGCACACAATGGATAGGGTGGGATGGGGGGTGGCCCCATGGTTGGGGAACTTCCATCCTATGAAACTATGAAAACCCCCATCAGTGCAGGCCTTCAGAAGTGCCTTGAAGACTCATTTGTTTCAATGTTTTTAAGCCATTGATTTGGAACTTGTGATTCTAGATTCTATGTTGTTCTTTAATGTTGTCATTTAATGTGGGACACACATTACATATTGATGACATTTGTGGCTTTGGCTGTATCTGATCCTTTGGACTACAGACAGTTAGGGAAATGGCAAGGTCTTAATCATGCTCTCTGCCCCAAGCAAACTGACCAATATATTAGCTTGCCCGCTGGTGCATTAGAAAGCCTACTACTAAACATTTATATATTGCTTTTGTTGACTTGGCTGTAGCTTTTGAGTCAGTTGACAAAACTGGTTTTGGCATAAATTAGTCGATATTAATATTGTCAAGAGTGTTTTGTGCTTGCCCCAAGAAGTCCATAAAAACATGCCTTCCAGAATAAGAGTGGGGATTTCCAGTGACACGGTTGCAATAAACTGAAGGTTGAAACAATGGTGTCCTCTAGAATCTTTATCTTAGTACTGCACTTGTGAGATTACCAAACAGGCTAAAGAAATGCATATGATTGTCACACCCATAAATAAATTTGTGAAGCAAAGATTCACGAGTGGAACTGTGCATGTAAACTGATAAATATATAGTTAAATGTGATGATCCTATTGTTTTAGCTGAACATGAAAATTCCTGTGCATTCAGCTGTGCACTTCTTACCTGAAAGCACTCTCAGAATGCTGGTCACTGCGTGACTTAGGTACTAGGTGTGCAAAAAAATCCACCTACAAATTTAAGGATTTCCTTGGCCTAGGCCAAGATCTACATGACATCAATCTATGACCCAGAAGGAAGGGTGAAATACAATGTTGTACATGTAAGGGCTTGCAAATGGTGTGTTGAATTATGCATGGCTAGGTGCTTTTCCCAAGCTCAGTGTCTTGTCTTACTGGCCCCCTATATATATATACCCAATGACAATGACAGCAAGGGGGGGGCAGAAAAATCAAACCTACTGTTTTAGCTTAGGCAATGTTAGAGCATCACAGTGTCATTTAAATTTCAGAATAGAAATTATTCTGTCATTGCTAATTAGTTTTCCCCATCTCTATATCTTTCCCATTGTAGGTCCTGCCAAGAAAATGCTGCACTTTGAAATTTCCAAGGAAGGCAGCGAGCTATCAGTAGTGGCTCAAGCTGATGTGTGGCTGTTTCTCAAAGTCTCTAAAGCAAATCGAAGCAGGACAAAAGTCACCATCCGCCTATATCAGCAGCAGAGACTGCTGCTAAAACGCAACTCCCAAGGGGTGGACGAGGATGGAGGTTTGAAGGGAGAAAAAGGCGAAATCCTCATCTCTGAAAAAGCAGTGGACACTCGCAAAAGTACCTGGCACATTTTCCCAGTCTCCAGCAGCGTCCAGCACCTCCTGGATCAAGGAAAGAATTCCCTGGATGTGCGGATCGCTTGTGATCAGTGCCAAGAAACTGGAGCCAGCCTGGTGCTGTTGGGAAAGAGGAAAAAAAAGGAAGAAGATGCAGAAGGGAGGGAAGGTAGTGAAAGCACGGGAGAAGAGGAGAAGGAACAATCCCACAGGCCTTTCCTGATGATGCTTGCCAGACATTCAGAGGATCGCCAGCACAGACGGCGGAGGCGGGGTCTTGAGTGCGATGGCAAAGTCAACATCTGCTGCAAGAAGCACTTCTTTGTTAGCTTCAAAGACATTGGCTGGAATGACTGGATCATCGCCCCACCAGGCTACCACGCCAACTACTGTGAAGGAGACTGCCCCAGTCATATTGCAGGAACATCTGGTTCAACGCTCTCTTTCCACTCCACTGTTATCAACCACTACCGCATGAGAGGCCACAGTCCTTTCTCCAACCTCAAGTCCTGTTGTGTACCCACCAAGCTGCGGCCCATGTCTATGCTCTACTATGATGATGGGCAGAATATAATAAAAAAGGACATCCAGAACATGATTGTGGAAGAGTGTGGGTGTTCATAGGTGTGTGTGCGCAAGTGACACACCCATGCTCACATACATGTTTGGGACTGCCTTTCTACCAATTTGAAGAAGACCATTAAAAAATACAACGTATGAGGGAAGACCAAGTGGGTCTAGCCTTTCCAAACAAAACAGTCACATTTCTAAAACAGAAGCATTCAGTGTTCAAAAAATAGCAAGAGAGACAGACAAAGGAAAGAAGAATGGCGTTGTTCTCCAGGGCTTGGATGAGGAACATTCAAATGGTGCGGGCAAGGGCATTTCCTATCTTATATGCTCCATATTTTATTACGTAGTATTTTCACACTTTATCAACAACAAGGGGAGGTATGTTTCCCTTCCCTGTATTACCTATGCATTCAAGCCCTGACAGCAGCTTGCCTACAAAATGCAGCAATTTGGATGCTAAGTCCAAAATGGTATTAAAATGCCCAGAAAAGCCATGTGTATGAACACTACATTCACTGGCACTTTTTGCTCCCATCCGTTTACCAAGGACGCAGTGAGTGTGCGTGTGTGCGTGTGCGTGTGTGTGTGCAGGTTTCTTCTGGCATATGCATGCACAGAGCACACTTGTGTATATATTTTGGTAAAAGGGGACAATAATGCGCAGGTGTACTCACCTTTATCTTCTGCACTATTTTTGCAAAAAAAAGTTTAAAAAAATTATAAAGAAAGAAAGAAAGAAAATACAAAGTTACATTTCGTAAAGGTGCTTATGACATTAGAACTATGCAACCAAGTTGGTTTGAAACTGTTTACCTGAGAGAGAGAGAGAAAGAAAGAAAGAAAAAAATACCCAGACTTTAAAAAAAAAATGGAAGTAACATGTTTAATAATTTTTTTCTTCAATGAGAGATACTTGAAAGGAACATGTTTGTCCAGCTACTGGAGCCAAACATTTCTATATTTTGTAAAAAAGAGAAAAAAAAGAGGTTTTGTTTTTTTTAAAAAAATTGTTTACTATTTGCACTACAAACAATGTTCAACCTGTCTAATCCTTATTTAACAAGTAATTTTGGGGTGGGGTGGGAAGTGGGGTGGGAATGTGGTTAGGGGTGGAAGGGAGTCAAGAGCTGCACTTATTGTGAGCTATACAAGAACTGCTACAGCACACAAAATAGTTATTTTTATTATAATTATTATTATTTTATACCTTTAAGAGAATAGATGTGTACACCAAAGACATTTATGTGAGCCTCTAAGCAGCCTGTTCTTAGCTAGTGTCATTCATAGGTTAGGATCTGGCTTCAAGGGTCGTCAGCAAGGCTGGTTGCATTTGGAAGGGTGTAGGTGGTTTCTGGGTGAGCCTGTTCAGTGCCCTGAACACAAACCTGAAGGCTGGATTTGGCTGTGCTATTCAAGCACCCCTAAACTATCCAGGGTGCTTTGAATCCATGTTCTATTTCAGGCCCAACAATAGCTCAGTTGTGAATCCTTCGTATGTACAGCAGCTGTACACTGTCGGAAAACAACTTCCTGTAAGGGGGGATCTATATTTGTATATGTATGTATATATACAGTTTAAGCACTTCAGGCTACACTTTTAATGTTCTTAAAAACAATGAATGTTTGTGTGCCAAGCACAGTATATTAAATGTCTTTTTCCCAGTGGAGGAAACTTATTTAAAACCACACTACTCTATATGAAAGGAATATGATCTCAGTATAAACATAGAAAGGTCTAATTTGTATCCACCTTTGCACCTTTCTCCTGCCCTTATCACTGCTGTATCTAGTAGCTCTTGGATAACTTCCCAACATATGCACATTATACATAAAGGGAGCTGAATAGAGATTGTGCACGATGACTGTGGACTGGGCACATTCATTTGAAGGTGTGAAGAATGCGCACAAACTGATAGCATGAACCCGAAATTTTGCACATTGTCTGATCAACATGCTTTGTTTCCGAGAGATGGGTGTGCACAAAGAGACAAAGTTAATTGGGTAATGTGCACATTGTCCTATCAATGGATACGTTCTCCACTTGGAAACAGTGAACAGGCAGTATACAAGATTTATATATATGGTGGCTGTGAATATTAACTGGGCAATATGCAAAATGTGTCTGTTCAACACACATTTTCCAAAATCCGTTGTTGATTGCGCAGATTGACTGGGCAGTGTGTGAAATCTCCATGTGTTTTCAATGTGTGCATATTCTTCATGGCTTCTGATAAACGTTGAATAATCACTAGTGTTTATGCATATTCACCAATCAACTCATACTAGCCCCAGCATATGACATTTTAAAAATGGTCACATTTAAAAGAATTCTTAGAGCAAAAGCCTTGGTCAGTGCTGAATGTGTTGGAGGAGACATTGTGGAATCTCTAACATAGTGATATCAAGGGCACAACTCAAACTGACTTCAGTGGTAGTTAAGATTTTACTCTAAGGGCCAAAGGCCACAAAGCTTTTCTTTCACAAGCAACACTGCAAGTAAAACCTCATTGCTTTGAAATAATTCTGTGCCGGCAAATTTGGCTTCTGCAGATAAAGCTTTGCCACTGCTGTCTGCCACACTTTCAGTTTTTGTTGAGATGAGCTTAAGGAGCCGTTAGGCTAGCAAAGCGCTATAATGTTTCTCCTACTTCTGGCACTAGTCAAATTAATTAATTTTCTAGCACAGTTAGGCCCTGTCTATATTGATAGGGGTGGCATGTTAGCACCTTGAGGGCAAGAAAAGCAGGACAATAAATCAGTCGTAGTCCCACCCCCCCTACCCTTTTTGTCAGCCAAAACTCGAGTTACCATGATCCAAAGAAGGCATGTGTGAGCCTTTTTCTGCACATGAATTGCCAGTGCGAGTGGGAGTAAGAGTGGGCTGGAATGCTGCATTCTGCATGTGGCAATCACAGGTAGTGCTCATTTCCTAAGATGCAATAGACACCAGCACTCCTAACATCGTGAATCGCCTGTTAGACAGTGAGGAAGAGAGGGTGAGAAATGATACACATTTTGAACCTCATAGAACTAGTAAGGAACCTGTATTTCCATCCTGGAGAGTGAGGAAGGGATACAGCAGCAAGTGTGCAGCTTTAAGAAGCATTTGAGGTTCCTTCATACAGGGTCATAATGTGGTATGTTCATGGGTGCATGCAAGCACATTTGTGTTCTTGCATGTATCAAATGAGATGCAAAATAAAGGGAAAAAAGAAAAAGAAAGTTTTCCATTGTCCAGTAAATATCAAAGCTCTTGCTTATAGTTAAGTCTAATTTATTCCACAATATTTAGCCTGCATAGTTGAGCTAGCGGGTTGCACAATTATGTAGGTTTAAAAAAAATAAACAAATTAAAGAGCATTTTCTTTCCCCTTTTCAAAATTTGCAAAGAAGAATTAGAATTTTAATCTAATTAGACTACATAAAAATGTATTCCACAAAATAAAAAGGCTTTAAAATTTACATTATTCACAGAATGTTTTTTTAAAAGAAATAATTAAGTAGATAAAAAAGTATTAATGGGGAATGTTCACAAAGAGTGCTCTGAAATTTAAGACGTGCTTGCTCTTGAATGTTGCTGTGCGAGTATTTACTAATTATTTTGGAAGGCAAAGGAAGATTGAAAATGAGGTGACTGAGCTGATATAAATGTAAATCAAATTGGGAACCCTCTATTGTCTTCCCTAGATTTGTATTTGGCATTTTAGTTGTATGTGTATTATCCAAGGTTGCCAGAAATTAAAGCCCCCGAGTGAAGTTGAATAGCTACAAGATTTTCACTGAAGGGTAAATTCCATCAGATATTTTCCTCTTCAAGCAGACGCATTTGGTGGAATTTTTCCTTCAGCAAAGCTCAACACATAGATAAGTCCTCTTAGGGACTAACTGCATCATCCTTAGCATTTCCCTTTATTTACTCATGTGAGCAGCTCCAAAGATATGGCTAACAGTACATATCAACTCAAAAATAAGTGCCTGGCTGCAGGATTGCATCTTTAAAATACAGTTTTGTGGGTTCTCACATAAGGGAAATCTGGAATGGGAAGTAGCCCAGGTCAGAGGGAAAGAAGTTGGTCAGGGTAGTACAGCTTGCAATAGCTAGTGTTCAGATCCCTCCCTAGCTTGTCACGGGCAAATACTAACCTACCTCACAACATCCTTGTGGGGTTAAGGCTGCAGTCCTATGCATACTTACATGGGAGTAAATCCCACTGAATTCAGTGGGGCATATTTCTGATTAGACATGTATGCGATTGTGCTGCAAATGAAATAAGACATACCCATGGTTGTTACAGAAGTAATTATCAATAACATCCATAAAACCACACCTAGTACTAACAGCCCACACCTTTACTAGTTAATCCCATGTTTCTCACTGTCTCATTGTCATGGACAACAGCATTGACAATTTCATGCTAGCGAAAACCGTATTTATGTTAATTTTGTTTAAAAGGTATTTGGAAAAAATCCAATTCCACTCCAACTGAATGCATCCATCCATCCATCTCCCATAGATATTATTAGCTGGCTTTGGAAACCAGAGATACATGTCTCTATGCTCTTCAGTCTAATTTATTTATGCATGATTGTTAATGGATGGAGGAAAATAAAAGTTTAGATGTGGTGGATGGTTTTATGGTAAGCATATTGAAAAGAGTGGGAGGTATATAAATTAACAAGCGACTGTTTCTCATCCCTTTCCAGTAGCATTCATACATATGCATACCCTGTTTCCAACTTTTGAGGGCTTCCTCTCTCCTTCATTTGCTACAGTCAGTCATAGGCTTTTGATTTTTAGTTATTCAAAGCAGAGGGAGGTGAAAAAGTACAAGGATAAAGAAAATATGAAATTGGTACATTAATCAAGAGTGACTGTAGTTCCAGTACAACAACAACAAAAAGAAGATAATTTGTTTTAATTAAATTGGTATGTCTTCAGAGTTTTAAATTGCTACCACATTTGACATGTTCTTAAAGGCCAAACGGCCTTGGCAACAATAGCGTTTTTTAGGTAGCAATAAGACAAAGTTTGAAGGGTTTGGGGTTTTTTAGAATTAAAAAAGTAATGCATTTGTTTGCTATCCATTGTTAGCCCTGCTCAAGTTTTCTGCAGGTCATTATAAATACCACGTCCCCACCTGTTGAGAAAATATGAATATGATATAATAACACTTCTTAAGAACCTGATAGTGTGAGAAGTGTGTCAGTTGCCTTTGGATTAGGGAGAAAGAATGCGTCCGTTTGTAAGAATTACAAAGGCTTGGTGTCGAATCTTCTAAAGCAGCCTTCTCTAACCTAGTACCTCCCAGATGTTTTAGACTACAGCTCCTTTGCGGACATTCCCCTCTCCCTTTCAGTTTTTGGAGCAAACACCATGGTTAGTTATAGTAGCAAAATGGGAGGGACAAATGCCTTCATGAAACTGTAGGGCGCTCCCGAACTCTAAACCATGGTTTAGAGATTAGGTAGCATTACACCTATGCCAAGTTGAAAGGGAGCCAAGTCAAAACCTTGCAGATGCCCAGAAAAAAATGTCTACGACCTTATGAAAGGATGCCTAGCTCTTGACTTCAGTAGGAATGGTCCTATAGCATTCTCTCATTACAGCATTGAAACACAGTATTAATTGTATTGAGACGCAAATACTAACTAAATTTCCCTCACTGGATTATTACAAACATGTAATTTCAAAACTAACAGGAGAT